CTGTTAACTTGTTTGAAAGGTAAAATAGAAAGAAGATAAACTGTTAACTTGTTTGAAAGGTAAAATAGAAAGAAGACAAACTGTTAACTTGTTGGAAAAGTAAAGTAGAAAGAAGATAAACTGTTAACTTGTTTGAAAGGTCAAATAGAAAGAAGATAAACTGTTAACTTATTTGAAAGGTCAAATAGAAAGAATATAAACTGATAACTTGTTTGAAAAGTAAAATAGAAAGAATATAAACTGTTAACTTGTTTGAAAGGTAAAATAGAAAGAAGATAAACTGTTAACTTGTTTGAAAGGTAAAATAGAAAGAAGATAAACTGTTAACTTGTTTGAAAGGTAAAATAGAAAGAAGATAAACTGTTAACTTGTCTGAAAGATCTGGAGAAAAAAATACTAACAAACATTCCAGCAAGTATATTCATCTTGCTTTCAAGACAGTATACCGAAGAAACAAAAATGAAACTTTGTCTTGTTTAATTATCTTGAAAAATAAGAAATGCCGTTAGATTTAATTAATTAGTGTGAAAAGTCAGTAAGCAGGAGATAAATTGACATAAAAATTGGGCAACAGATTTTAAAAATCAATATCGAAAAATAATAGAAATAAAATATGCTGTTTTTACTCTTGTGAGTTTACTGGGAGAATTAGGTTTCTGCTGTTGGAGCTGTACAAATTAACAATTAATTGGTATAAAGATCTGATTGCCTTTATAAAAAAAACTTAAGTTGATGAGTTTTGTTTTTGTAAATATAAGTATATGATCAAAGTGTATCGTTAAACTGTTCGAAAAGTCGGCAAATTGATAATTAAAAAATAATCCATCAAATGTGATTATTTGAAATGACATATCGATACAAGATATAAGTACCACTTCAGACAGTAGCATGTATAAAAAAGTACGAAAACGTTGTAAGAAATCATATTGATTATCGTTGATTTTGGTGAAATATCCATGTAAGAAAAACGAAAGAAATATTATGTGAAAACAAATTCTTACAGATCAAATGAAAAAAAAACAGCATATAAATTATATGAATGTACAATGTTTGTGAATATGTTGAATTATATTATAATTATTTTGTTTTGTGTAAAACTCAGTATTAGAGAAATATATTTTATAAAAATTACCACAAATAGCTAAATTATTTCAAGAAATATCAACAAAAGTAGTGAGATTCTTTTGAGTGATAAATCATATAGCCATCCTAATCCTGACGAGGCTATTCAACGGAAGACTAACGTAAAACAGCAAGTTCTGATGAGTTTACATACCATCATTGACAATATGTTTATTTAAAGAAAGGATTAAAAAATAGCTAAGCATTTTTAATACTCATAAATGTATGTGCATGAAGAGGTTGCTACCATTCATATTGACCTGCTTATTTGAAGGAACAGTGGCAGAGAAGTATAATATATTTATTGACGGATTGAGTATGGAGAAATGACTAAGTTTCATTCACTTTAATCTGTGTATCAAAACACCTGTGTATCATAACTTCAGTTTTGTTTCTTCAAGGTAAGGAAATTTACTTTCGATCGAAATACCGTGAATTTTTAAAGTTGATTAATTCAAAGCTTTAAGGGTTTATCGGTGCAATAGTTTTTATACTCACAGTTCATGTCAATTGTAACGGTGGAAGTCATTGGTATAGAGAGATTCGTGTTTGATGCTTGACACAAAAACGTTGCCATCAGGTCATGCCTACGAAGTTGATCAATTTGAAGCTTGTTCCGAACATTACCAAAAACGGTGATGTCGTAGGTGTCATCCAGTAGTACCGACTCTCGCCACCAAGTGACAGATGGCGTGGGCTTACCTGGCAAAAAATACTATTTCCCAGTTAGTGAGAGCATATTAAAAAACAAATCGTTCCTATTGAAAAATTACTTGGCACTGTCTTAAACTTTTGATGACATAAACATGTATACATGAAAAATAAGCAATAAAACAATAAAATTAATGCTAATTAAGAGATAGTTCATTAAAATTATTACCTAAATGAACGATTGTCTAAGTGTTAAAAATATAGAGAGTTGAGTACGTTATATTAAAATGAGTTTGAATACGCCAATTAGTACACCACGTGACAATCTAAACCTATATAAAGTCGCGGTGGAATGGCATGTATCAGAACTACATTATAACATTGTTTGGCGGTACGTAGGTAGTGTGATGCCACCAAAAATTAACCTATTGGGGGAACAAAGGTAATCAACAGTTCTTACCCATGCGTAATATTCATACTCTCAAATCATAAATATGCTGTTAGGTCGTGGATTTAGAATTTCCAAAATGAAGATATCCCTTGTGGTTAATGACATTGGAAGACAAAGGAGTATGGATGGACTTTGGCAACAGGACGATACAAAAAAGGCCTAGAACCAGTTATTCCCCAGGTGTGGTAAGTAAAGTGGGTATCTTGTAAGAGATGATAGTCCACGAACAAAAGGTCAATGGCAAAAGCCGTCTATGTGTCCTAATATAATCAAGAAGGATCTTCGTATGTAAAAGCGACACAAGTTACGTGTACACAAGTTACTTCCACGACATTTCCCTTCAATTTTAGAATACCTCAAGCAACTGGAGAAGAGAATAAAACTGGCCCGGCATGGCCAGGTGGTTAGGGCGCTCGACTCGCAATCTGAGGGTCGCGGGTTCGAATCCCGGTAACACCAAACATGCTCGCCCTTTCAGACGTGAGGGCGTTATAATGTGACGGTCAATCCCACTATTCGTTGGTAAAAGAGTAGCTCAAGAGTTAGCGGTGGGTGGTGATGACTAGCTGCCTTTCCTCTAGTCTTACACTGCTAAATTATGGACGGCTAGCGCAGATAGCCCTCGTGTAGCTTTGCACGAAATCCATAACTAACAAACAAGAATAAAACGGGTATTCATGCTACTTCGCATAAAGACAGATTGATCAAAGTCTTCGGATTTCTGTGCGGTACGTATCCTTCCTCCTCGTTTAGTAAGCTGAATATTGAAAGCCAGCAGGGAAGAGTGTTGGTCTTCGGACAAAATAGCCTTGGGACGAAGTCTCTTGCAATGGAAGCTACGCTTCATGGCTATTATCAAGATATACGGTTTCCAGATGCAGCATGACCTGACGTGGCAATATGGACTGTAACGACGTGGTGAGGCTCTAAATTTGTTTTACTATAACTTACTCGACCTCCATCATATAAGAATAACAAAGAAACTGCTATGAAAGTCATGAAAAGTATAGTATTATTTATGAAACCACAAGTGCATTCTAGTTGTACTTCATTACCACATTTAAAATGTTATGGTTATCATATTGATGTCAGATGTAATAACGTACATGTTTAGTTTTAATATTTTACCACTTAAAAAAACAGTTTATTTTTTATTGAAATTGTGATGGTTCAATACTTATAAAACTGTCAAGTTTAAAATATATCTTTATTGTTTATTCTTTTATTATTGATCTATAAAAGACCAAAACGTACCTATGCTCCCACATACGTTTAAAAAACAAACTGCTAAAGTTCAGAAACCATTATTAGAGAAAACTGCCTTTAAGTTAAATATAAATGCTTAGAATTTTAAATATACGTATATATGCAATAGGAAATCGAAACATTTCAAATATAAACAGTTCGAAAAAAGTTCAATCCTTGAAACATGTTATTTTCACCAGGTGATTACCTCGAACATATCTAGAATATCACAATGCTCTATCATATAACGTGTCTTGGTTGATATAACAGATTACTGTGTCGAACATATTAGTCAAAATTACTTTATTTACAGCACACGACATCTTAGATACCAAGAAATAATAACAGGCATACTGTGAAACTTTAAACACCTTTGAAAAGTTTTTTTTAAATCTAAGAGTTCTGGGGTTTGTTGTGAGAATAATAAGTATTAACACTAATATAGTTTCGATAAAAACATCAACTTAAAGGTCACTTTGATTTGTTGTTTGTGTTATATGAAGATTAAAATAAGGAGATATTATAAAACAAGAGAATGCCTATTTTATGTTCAAAAAGTTGAAGCTGTGGAAAAACATTTTCCTGCACATTCCGTGAAATAAAATACACGCTATTAGAAATAAAACGATTTTCTGCGGGTTCTTTTTTTTTTTGTAGCTGTAATTAAAAAGTCTCTTCTCATTGTACAACCACAGCAGTAGGGAAGTAGATCAATAGAAAGTCGAAAGAATGCTAAGAGTAAACCACCATATCATTAGGACGTTGTTTGTATCTTTGTCAGAAGAACCAACAAAATGAATAACAAAAAAAAAGAAAAAAAAACGTAGTATCGGAACATAGGCTTCACATGCAAAACGTAACTCTTGATCTATATCTTCTATGAACTTAAATATATTATTCAAGTATATTAATAATTCAGCATCATTCTACCAACGAATATGTTATTTGTATTGATTAAGTATACAGCTTCATGAATGCCTGAGAACTATATGAATACAAACTAAATGAAAATCTTATAATTTAATGTTAATAAAGTCTTCACATATTTAGCAGATCTAAGAAAAAACTCATTTACAGGAAACCATCAATAGGATTTTTCATCAGTTCCTATTAAAATATAACTTTTCAATGTTAAACTGTTCACGTATGAATTCAAATTCATGTACTTTATCATCAATCCATTTTTCTTTTTTGATAACTTGGTTGTTGCGGACATTAATACCCTTATTCAGAGTTTGTCATTTTTCTTAGCATCCATTTGTTGTATTCCAATAGGGTGTTGTTTACTTTAAAAAAAATTAGCTATAAAGTGAATAAACAACTGAACAATTGAGTTTTTTTATGTTTTATTGTTTTGTTGTAAACTTGAATAATCAGTCTATTCGAACATGGCCTGGTAGGTAGCGCACTCTACTCGCAATCTCTGAATCGAGAACTATTTTCTCGCTCTAATGTGATGGTCAGTAGCAATATTCGTTGGTCTGTAGAGTTCAAGATGTTGATTTCAAAACTAGAGACGGTTAGCCCTCGAGCAGCTGATAGAGAAATTCCAGAAAAACAAAACAAACTGGGTGAGATACATGCTAGAGGTAATAAATATAGACCTTAGAAGTCAAGATTTAGACCTATACATACTATCTTTTCTGTTATAAGCTTGTAATACGTAAGGTGGGGTTAATAAATTTAATTTGCCAGAATATTTCTTGATACATATCTAAAAATGGCTACAGCTAGCTTAGAGTAACGATGTAAAGTGAAGTGTGGTATGAGTGAACGAGTATGTTTAATTTTTAGTGTTTCTGGAAAGTGAAGTGTGGTATGAGTGAATGAGTATGTGTAACTTATGGTGTTTCTGGAACGTAACTTTTCAATCCGAATGGCTTCATAGATACAAGTCGGCTATACTTCCAAGTTAGAGTCTCTTAGGTATCAGGTATAACCATTCTTAATTTTGAACGAGTGACCACAGGAAAGGTAGTCATTCAGCAACACACGCCGTCACTAGGGTTTCGTCTGAATCTTTAAACCGAAAAAAAATGGGAGTGATTTTTGTAAAGCCCAACACATTAGCCTTAGGCCTTGCTTAGCCTTTTGGTGGCTCTATAATGAATACTCAGCTAAGGTAAGGTTTTAAGACCGTGCTGGTCACGTTCGTGGAAAACATTTTCTGATTACTCGGTCATCGAAGGATTGCCCCAGCAATGTCTTGACCATTCTTTCAAAGTTACATAAAACTGTTCTTAATTTAATATAGGGATAATGTGTTTTAATACTGAATTGCAGTTTTCGACGTAAATTACCACTGTGTAGACTCCGATTTTTTAGGCTCTTCAATAAACTGAGGCCTAATAGCAAACGTGATTGTTAATCTAACTCAGATTGTAACATTCTCTTCATGCAACGGCCGCTGCACAAAGACACGTGGTTGTTTTCTAGCCAGGTGACACTTGCGATTGGTCAGAGAAAAAGAAAAAAATCAATATAATGACACAGTTAATTTTTGTTATAACACAGTCAGTTAGTCCTATTAACATATACATCTATGTAGTAAATAATTCAAATATAATTATATTACTAATTACTCGATTTCGTTATGTTTTTAACGAAAAAAAACCCTTATCTTATTTTGATTATTTGTTGTAATCAAATAAAAAACAAGCACGTCACGTGATGAAGTATATTAAATAAGACTTAAGGAAAGATACAGGTGAATATAATACATATTGCAAAAACTCAGTTAACATTATAGTCAAAACACGTCTCATATCGTAATCATCTCATTATGTTTGCACATCCTCTAGTGACCCTATGTGAAATTATCATCATATGCTCTGGTGGCATTATAAGGGAATAACACGTTATCTGTTACATCTTCTGATGATCTCATAGGAAGCTATTAATACATCCTCCATGACACACACAATATGGAACAATGAAATATGAAAGCAACCTGATACTTTGGTGTTACGAGTCTCCTGATGTCACACATCTAATTAAAACTCTTCCTTTAAAAAGTTGGATGAATTCTAAGTACTTTTCAACAGGCTTTTGCTGTTGACGCTGAGAAATGGTATCAAATGAACTCGGAAGCGCTTTAAGTTTCTTTATTTTTTGCTTGTCTTTATTCAAAATCGCATCCTCTCATGAGTTGGACTTAGCAACGCTAGCCGTTGTACGTAACATTAGCGATTTCCAGAAACTTAAAGCCATATAAAATTTCGCTTTATATATATATATATATATATATGTTTTACGTTGAGATGAGAAAATGGAAGGAGGAGAGACTCGTGTACTTTAATCAACGACGTTTCTCCATCGTATTGACAAGTACTCAGCTTGTATTGTATAAAAAAAGTAACACCATTCAGTGCACTACCATATCAATAAGATCAAATCGCTTTTCTAGGGAATTATTGATCGAAAATCGGTATAATTCTTCGTATAGGGGAATAGTCCACTTTTGTTAATGATTTTTAGCCTTTTTGATAAGTTTTATGTTGTAGATGTGAAGTAGTACAAATAAATGAACACTCATATTTAGTATTTCACGTTATAGTAAGCCGTTTCGATCTGAAAGTTCAATAATTAATATGTGTGTGTTTTGTAAGTAATAAGAGGCTTCACACTTTATATGAGTTTTTTTAGCTCTGATCTATATACCTATCTTGCTTCTGATGAGAACCTACTAATAGTTAGGGTGTGGGTTGGTCTGTGGTAGAGTTTTGGAATTCTAAATTGGCGAGCTAGATTAAAATCAGCTCTTTAAAATGTGGGTGCGTTATAAGAGTCACAGTGAATATATAAACGAGTAAAGTGAGAGGTAGGGTTTGTTTGCTTGTAATTAAGCATAAAGCTACGGAATGGGCTATCTGTGCTCTGCCCACCACGGGTATCGAAACCCGGATCCTAGCGTTGTAAGTCCGTAGACTTGCAGCTGTGCCACTGGTGGGCGGGGAGGTAGGGTACTGATGACTGGTTGTCTTTCCTCTGGTCATAGTTCAAAATCAGGGACACAGGCAATACCCTTAATAGCTTTGCCCCAAATACAGTGAAAATACTAATAATAAAGTTCCAGATAAATATCAAATAATACAAATTTATCTGAATAGTTGTTAATATATTTTCTTTCACTAATAATTTACTGACTAATAGCGTAATCTGTTAAATTATTAGTTGTTTGTAATTATACTTACTTATCGCCTTGAAGAATACAAACATAGTCGTTCTCAATAAATTCAAAGCTTATCAGTTTCGTCTTTAAAAAAGCCCAACACAGACTGTAAATACCTCCTAGTAACAACACAAGCTAGAATGAAACATCATTCTGATACATGTACACCTAAGTAAGGCACAAAAATTCCCAATTAAGATCTGATCTGTGCGATCATTTAAGAGGTAGTCGTTTACAGCTTTCTTCAAAATGTGTTCTAATGCAGAATGAATATTAAACATACAAAACTATGCGATGTTGATAATTTAAATGTTTAAATATCAAGCTGGTCTGATGAGCTCTGTTATAATTGAGCGAAACACGTCGTTGGCAACGGATATTGCGGAGTGCTATATTCAGTTGAACTAAATTAACGAAGGAGGTTCGACTAGATGTAGTATTATGGGACAGTGCTTAATGCATACTGGCTGAGCTTAAGTCTAAGAATAATTGGACTTAAAACAAAGACAATACGAACACAGTCTTTATTAAAACGAAAATAAAAACACAGTGTATGCACTTGTTGCTTGCAACAGTGGTCCCTTCTACACCGTGTCAAGATCAGTGACAAGATTTATACCTTTTTTTCTCACGAGATGAATCTCTGCAGAATCAGTCACAATGAAAACCAATTAGAGCTTTCCTGAAACTTGGTTTCCAGATCGCAGAAAATTCGGTTCCTTTATCATTGGTTGCATTACCACTTGACATGTCACGCTCTCACAACATTCGTCGACTAGGACTTAGACATTACCAAGTGATTCCTGATATGATAGAGCAAGAACGCCACAAGACAACGTTGCTTCTGAGAAACCTTAAAAGTTTTCTGGGTCACGTTTTTTATGCCAACAAACTGGTGCATATTAAAAATCAATAATAAATTGAGTATAAATATTAATTCCACCGGAAAAAACAAACAAAAAACCTCTGGTATATTCCTATACCACAGTAGATACATTGAGGTTGAAATACTATTATATGTTTTTCTTCTTCTTGCGATGTCCCCCAGTGGGTCAGCGGTACGTTTACGGACTTACAATGCAAAAATCCTGGGTTCGATTTCCCGTGGTAGACAGAGCGCAATGAGCGCTTTGAAATGGTTTTCGTTAAAACCAACAACAATCTTCCTGTAAAACCATAAGAAATTGGATAAAGAGTTTAATGTTAAAATATAATATTAATGTATTGCAACAAATATATTTAATTACTAAATATATTCATTGTTTTCAGTTGTCTTAGTATTGTATTATAAATAATATATCCAGCTGTTTAGAGAAAACAGGTTTCTGAGACTGTAAACAATGATTCTACCTATCAAGTTAATCATGTTTTACAAAGTTGACTGGGCTGAAAACGTCAATGCTGTGACCAAAATATCTTAATAAAATCCTGTGGCATAATAAACTTTCTAGCTTGACGATTCAAGAAAAAATTGGGTTCTCCGCGATATGAGAAAAGTATCATATATACACGTGTTAACCATAAGGCCTATAGTACTTTGGAATGAATATTTTATACAATGACGAGTCCTCATATTAATGATTGGCTTTTCCTTACCTCCCTCTACTTCGCAAGTTAACACAAGGCCATCTCCCTCGTTATAAGGTCCTATTAGACTTTGGACAACTTCTCCTCGTTCATCTGTTATTACAAGACTTCTTGGAGGTACTACAAATATTTCGGTAATAAGCAGTACATCTTTATTATATCTCGTTGAGTTAAAAAAATAAATGAACAATGATGTTATTCTGAAAACTGCAAATTTACCTATTATAGTCACAGTGAATAAAAATATCAAGTACAAATGTTTCATCTCCAAACATATATTAAAAGCCAAAGATTGATAAAAGACAAAAGTATTACATATGTTACAAAACCAGTTGAAAATTATACGTGTTTTGAGCATGACATTTGATAAATATAGGTATATGGATTTACAATTAATTAACACGACCTACTCATATTCTGTTTGAAAAGGCATAAGATATTCCATGTTTACAAGAACTTAGAACTAGTATAACTTTTGCACTGGAAAATTGTCCTTAATTCAATAGAAACAAAATAAATTTACCTAAGTATCTCAATATATAGGGATAATAGATTCAAAGCCAACCTAATACAAATGGAAAATGACTTGCTCTTGTGTAAATATAATTAAAAGAACATAACCTATAACGGTTATTATATAGGTCAGGATCAAATGAACATAGGTGAAATAAAATAATTACTGATTAAAAAAAGTTACTTTTATTGGAGATAACATTGTTATTTCGTATTCTAACTGCTTTAAATATTTCACTTTTGATTGAATATTTGGTTTGATAGTATACTAGTGTTGAGGAACGAAACTATAAGTGAAAGACTAAAATTAATATAGAAGTATCTATATTTCTATAGTTATTTCGCTAGAAATTATATATAATAGGATATATATTCCTTAAGCAGTTCCATTGGGGATTAATTATTTATCAGGCACACTACCTGTTTTTTATGTATTTTATGTATGTGTTAGTTAAACTAGAAATCAGAAAATAGCATAATATTCTCAAGCCTGTGAAAACCAAAAAAGGGAGCACGACGTTTCACTGAGATAAAAACCCCGGTGGCTCAGTAGTAAGCCTGAAGGCTTAAAACGCTAAAAATATGGTTTCAATGTCTGCGGTGGGCAGAGAACAGATAGCCCATTAAGTAGCTTTGTGATTAATAACAAATAACTAAACACCGACTTAAATAATCCTTCTTTACACTTGAAAACGTTAGTTAACGACGTTTCACTGAGTTAACTCAACGTTTTCAACAAGTTAGTTAACGACGTTTCACTGAGTTAACTCAACGTTTTCAACAAGTTAGTTAACGACGTTTCACTGAGTTAACTCAACGTTTTCAACAAGTTAATTAACGACGTTTCACTGAGTTAACTCAACGTTTTCAAGTGCAAGGGGAATTTTTCAACTTAGTGAAACATCGTGTTCCTTCAGTGTTTATCAAAACCTTGAAAATATTACTCTATTTTATAACTTCCGCTTTTTATTTCTCTAACGACTGAATTGTAAAACTTGGGTCTCACTTTCACCATCTACTGCATTTCGAGACTAAAACCTATCATAAAATAAATTATTTTTGTTATTTCAGTAAAAACGGGCACATCAGAACCTTTTTAATAAAGTGATAAACCTAGAAAGAAATTTTTTCTGTCTATCCCACTGATATTAAGTTATTAATTATGCATTTTAACTGTCTCTAACAGTTGTTAGAGCATGACCAACTAAAAAATAATCTAAATTTCTCTAGCTTTCCGTTGAAGAAAGTACATACAGTTAAATTTTTAATTTTTTGCACCTTTACCAATAAAAGTTATTCCTGCTCATATATACTATGCTTGTTATTCTTATGGACCCTTATTTGAGGAATATAAGTTTTTGTATCTTATCTGCTTGCAATGATAGTTTCAATTATACATGCCTTTACACATAACACAAAACATTAAGTAGCTACTTACATGTACTGAATGAGCTATTTGTATCAGTTGCAAGAAAAGATCAGTCTAATCAAGAACAATAATTATCATTGAAGCCAGCTGCACAATGAATATGCAATTTAATAGTCTTTAATAAGAAAGTATTGATTATATTCCAATAAATACAAAAATAAACACACCTAGTACAAAAACAAACGAGAACAGACAACGAACCCACGTTTCAGATCAACACACCTAGTACAATAACAAACGAGAACAGACAACGAACCCACGTTTGAGTAACTAAGGTTAGTTTAAACTGAAAATGAGTTGCGTCCTTTTCTGTTCACGTTTACTTAGTCTAATATGTTGAAGAATATTATTCAAAATACTTTTCTTAGTACAATATTTAAGTTGTATGAACATTAAACTCGTTTTTCCCAGTTAAGAACATTTATTTTCATACCTTAAATAAATAGCAAGTTAACCTAAGAAGAGAAATATTTTGTAGTAACTGACCAACCACCATAAGATAAGTTTCGTCATGCCTAGTTCTTTCTCGTTCGAAGTCCACTCTACACCTAAAACGTCCTTCGTCCTCTGGCAGTAAGGGGTCCAAAACAAGAACCGCTGGTCTGTCGACCGTACTAAAGTAGGCCCTTCCTGTAAATGGATCACTTGTAGCATGACGTCCCTGGGCTACACCTCCTTTTCTAGAATCTAAAGTGTAAACAGGCTTTGAAAAGTCGTCTTTGTACCAAAGAACCAGAACTACTCTATCTTCCTTTAATGCTGGTGTTATATTGCAGGGTAGAGTAATCTTTCCACCGGCCACTGCAATGTTTTCTGAAAAATAAATAATGACAAATACAATGACACGGATACTGTAACCCTTCATCTCTAGAACATGTGCGCAGGCAGAAAATTAGCATGATATTGATATTGTCGGAAGTCCAGAATTTTCACTTGTGATTCTATTTTCCAAACTTAATTTAAACATACATAATTCAAACAAAATCTTTATTTACTTTTAAACTATTCTTGGAATTCATATGTAAGTGCATACGAGAAATTATTTTTCACGGTAAGTTATGTATGTTGCTTTTATGTTTTAAGTTTCAAGAAAATACATTTTCAGAAATAGCGTTTTCTATAATAGCATATGTTTCACTTACTAATATCCCAAGAAGCATATCTGTTATTCTATTTATTTAGTACCTTAAACAGCGTCATGTGTATGTAGCAGAATCAATTTTACTCTTTGTAAGACCCATTGTTCAAGTTTTGAACACTGAAATCGCTCGATTGGAAATTGGCAATAGAAATAAGCGTACTATTTTATACGCCATTCAGAGGAAAAAATAATGCTAACACGATATGTTGAGCTGTTTGTTTCCGGATGTAAGAAATCAAAGTTAAAGAAGGTTATATATGAAAAACTGATATTTTTTGGCATGCATATCTTAGGCTATTATTTCTGTAAAATATATCTGTTTTATCATTTCCTATAAATATATTAAGACGTATAAGTATATATCCGAGGAATTCTACAGAGTGGTTCGGGACAAAAGTAAATATTTGTACAGATTATCAGCACCATGGTCACTTATATTGGTACATAAAGAAGTCACACACAAATATATATATAAAGCCAAAAAACTTGTGACGTATAAATATACACCTGGAAAAAAGTTAAGTACCCCAAATATTTTTCAGGATTGCTTATTGAAAATAAGGTT